ACCCAAAATGTCAAGCTGAGGTGGTCGCTTACAAGAGCTTAGACCATAGTGGATCAAAAATTTGGCACAGATAGCATAATTATTGTAACTACAGACTTACCCCATGTTTTAAACATTTTATTCATGAAAAAAGTCAATTTTGAGGGGAAAAATCCAATTTCCCAATGATTGAAATATTTTTGTCTTTTGTACTACCTGGGAATACGATAATGTTACAACACCTTATTATCCAATTTCCTCTCTATTATCTGTCAAGTGGTCGCTTATGGGAGGTTAAAAACAAAAAAAAGTTCAAACTTTCAGCTCTAAAAGTGGTCACAGTCGCTTACAAGAGGTTCCAAGTATAGTGAGTTGGTTTGGAAACTTTTGGTATTTTGGAAAACTGGTTGTTGAGGAGAGGTGGTCGCTTACTGTATAGGTGGTTGCAACCAGAGGTTCGACTGTATTATTGCCATTACATCCATATGTAGTAATACATGCATAGAGGGATTACTTTGTACCTGGCACAACTGCACGTAGAGTATATGCATTTATTTGTTGTGCTGTAGTTACATGCCGCTGACTTTTTCCTTCAAATACCAGGTAAAATTCTCCATTGTCTGGTAGTGGAAAATCATCTGAGTATGTAATAAATATCACCTCCCCACCCTGGAAAAGAAATGGAAAAAATGAAAAACTTAAATAACAACCAAAACTAGGGACACTCTTAGAGAGTCACACATATGTGGCACTTATAGTGTTGGCCACCATATTTTCTATGGCATGGTATAAAATAGTTCTAACGGCTTGTGTGTATACCAAGAAAATACAAGGGACTTGTGAGATATTTTATGGAACACAACTCGAAAGCGTTACATAACTTATGTATTAATCAAGAAAAGCAGTAGCTGTATAAGCAAGAGATGATGTCATTTTAGCAATATTGTCAGACAATAGTCTGTTGCTTATATTCCCAGTTGGAATATCTGAATTCCAAAAAAAAAAAATTTGCCTTAAAATCTTAAAATTGAAAATTTTGAGCTAGTCATCAAATTGTTGATTAGGTGCAGACAATACAAACAAGAGAAATTGATACAGAAGTCAAAATAATCTGGGAATACCAAGAAACTTTGGTAGTGTTTGCATTCCAATGACTGACCAAAACCACAAGAATAAGTAGCAATATGTAACTGTTGAATTGCAAATGTTTTGCATGTGATGCAGTATCGTATGTATAAGTTGTCAAACGAAAACCAACTAAACAGAGACGATGACAGGTCATACTATAACAAAATGATCCGATGGATAAAAACAAATTTCAAAATTAGGGTTCTATTTCAAAGTGTGCTGATATAACAGCCAAACAACAACAAAGAGAAAGAGGAACGTTTGTAGAGATAAGATCCGAGTTTACCAAAACAACAGGAGGTTCATGATCAGCTATATCGACACGCCAACGAACTTTATTTACAAATCCTAAGTCGTTAATCAGACCAGAGGTGTACAAATATGCAGCGGACAGCTGGATTCCAGCTCATAAAGGTTTTCATTTTATCTGGACTGGGTTCCTTGACGGAAGATTAGAAAGTTCTCTTTGGACAGATTCGATCGCGTGACATAATGGTGCGAGTGTCTTCCACACTTTGAAAATCGACAAAGTCAACTAAACATTCGAGCGATCGAATCTTGCACCTTGTGTAAACAAATATTCCGAACTTGATGTGAGATTCGAAATTAACTTACGATACATTCACTAAAATCGCGTTTTATTTAGCGATCTTTCAATCAACGGAGTAATCTGACAATACCAAGGTCAAAACCAAAACTTGGACCATTCACGTAATTAAAACGATGACCTAACATCAAGCATTGTGAGCGCAGACCTAATAAATTCCATTGAATCCAAATAGAAGATGTTGGAAGGTGCACTAGCCCCGTCTAATGCCAGCAACATGTGAAAGTAATATAGCTTCTTTCGAAGCTTTGAAGTGGTAAAACAGATAACACAAGAGATTGCACTTACACGGGTTGGCGAGCTCTGTGGAGTGAAGGCCATGCAACATGCCTCTGTTGAAAGAAAAGAATATCATAGAATGAGAAATCGGGGTTCCAAAATGTAACTTAAATGATCGAGTTGGGACCTGGAACTTTGTATACCCTGAAACCTTTCAAATGCAAATTTCGACCTTAGCCCACGAATAACATGACTAAAGCGTAACAATCTCATATGAAGAAATAATTATTGAAAAACAAAACAAAGAGATTACGTGAATGTAATCGAAACTTATGAGAGAGCAATTCAGTTATTATAAACTAGGTAAAACTAAAACCTTGAGATTTTACGTTACGGAAACCTTTCTTACGTTTGATGACTTTGTTTATTTGCTATGTGACTCGTCGACAGATTTCATCCTAATCTATTTTGGGACTTTAATCAGGCAGCTAATTTGTAGCCTTAAAGGAAGGAATTGCTTCCCCGAATCCACGTAAAATATTCTAGAAGGCGAAATAATAAAGACGACCGAGACTGGCTCGAACGCTATGAATCGTCCCTCCTGTAAAGCATTCAATTAGCAAAAATTGTCCACCGATTTCCTTAGTCATATGTTGTGACCCACATGATCGTTTCATGTTCAACAGCAATTATTTTGTTCCAGTAATCACAACTTTGAATGTAACGTAAACGTTTAACGTAAAACAACAAATATTGCAATCAAGTTTGAGCTCACAAATAACAGGACAACATGAGCGAAGCGCGTGTAAAAATGTCGTTGGATTGATCTTAACCTCCAGACTTGACCTTGCTTTCAAAATACTTTTTTCGACACCCGGAAAGATTCCAGAAAAATTATTAACCAGTTGGCGTATTAAATTGTCCGTTTATGGGTATTTTCGAAATACTAATTTGGTACAAACGTTATGTACGTTCGAGATGATCGTATTTAGTTCGCTAAGTGCTTTCAATTCAACACTTGTGGCCGGCTAGTCTGTACGTATTGTGGTCTTATTACGAGGAATAATTAAGTCGCGATAATTTCATTTTCTGAAAATCAAAGGTGAGGAAGAAGAAGCATTATGTAGTTCTGCACTGAAGCCACTTGAACTAAAAGTTCAGCCCTGCGTAACACCTCATCAGTTGGTTAATTATGTCCAACAAGTAAACTCTATGGCATACAAGCTTGCTTGGGTTTCCAAAAACATATTATAGATTTGAGTGTCAAGGAATCAGTTGTACTGCTATGTCGAAACACTATCGGGCTAGACGAAGCTCAAGAGTAAATCATAAAGCTATTATATCTTACCTGAAGCCTTGTCCGAGTCCTTAGCCTTTGTAGAGTTCATTTTAAATCGATGATGACACGACTTCCCTCAAGGACCCGTTGAATTGAAATTTAAACCTTCAGCCGACTTAGCCTCTAGCATCAAAACCACGAAAGTCTTGATACAGTAGCAGTCATGATATACGTTAGACAGCTAAAGGCATACACCGAACAACAACATAACGCTTGCTTGTCAGAAAATCAAGGCCAACGATGAACACATCGTTGCCTAGTACCACTAGTACTTCATTTTGTACCCGCCGCCATTTTCATCACGGCGGTCGCCATCCGGTAATTTCCTCATTTACAAACTGTTCGTAGCATTCCACCAGAATTTCAACGTTGAAGATGTGTAGCCTTGTCTCTTTTACGGTAAAATGATTTCACGTGGATAAAAAGTCACCAGTCTTCCAGTTGAAAACAAGCCGATCCAACTAAACAATTCACATAAGAATCCCAAACCCTCGAGCCTCCAAAACCGCTCTGGTGACGTCACGTCCTCGTTTCTCTCCCCCCATCCCAGGGGAAAGCTGTGTCAACTCAGCGCAAGCTTACCAAAAATAGTTAGCAATTTCCTGTGTGGTAACCGTTGAGTTCAGGCACCATATCATTGCTTTTATTTTTTTTTTATTTCAAACTTACTACCAAACTGATGTCTCTACCACGCCAAATGAAATATCTTGAACAAAACCGAAGGTAAGAGGCCTTAACCACTCTTAATAATTAATCTATTGAACGGAATAGTTTATGATACTGTTATCTTCTTTAAACGCCCACTTGTTCTTACCTCACCCCTCAGTGTATATATCTAATGCTTGCTAGCAGACTAAAGTAAGCTGTACACAGGAAAAAGAAAACAAAATTATTTTGGCAATCTTGACTTAAAGTGGCGGGAATAAAGAAATAAACTTTTACGTTCTATAGCGTAAAATGTTTTGAAATGCCCGAGATGGGAAACTTAAATAATCACATTTTTTGCCAAAGTTGTTTAGTTCCATATAATTCCTCAGTTGCATTTTGTGATGCCCAAGGTTAATTCGTATTTAAGTGAAATTGATAATGTTTGATATTTCTGTGATGTTATTTGTTGATGAGCCACCTAGCGGATGGGGTTTAATCGGTATTTCCGCCCCGCAGAAAGCCCAGTCTTTTCCCGTCTAGACCATTGACAAACCTAAGGTTTTGCCCTCTTTCATTTCAGTTATAATATGCTACAATACCTGTCTAGAGAGCAAAGATTAATACGCCCAATTATTCTCACTATGTTAATCCTGTCGGCATCGAATGTACTAGAGCTATTGCTAATTTCTCGTTATTTTGAAGTACTTTGCTAAAACTGAATAAAGCGAATTGTGCTAATTTAGAAGCGTAGTGATTGATTAACCATAAGAGGGCTTTAATTAGCTTTTGGCTATAAAAACATTTTTTGTTTATTTTGGTGTCTGAAATATATGATACTAGTTTTTGAGCACGCCCTCATTAACCTTTAACAGAAAAAGCTAGAGAAACTCCTTCGGCTCATTTGTCTTACAACTTTCCACATTCATAGGCGCGGAGAAGGGTTACAGGGGGGCTGTAACCCCCCCCCCCAAAAGAAAATTTGGGGACTCAGACCCCCCCTTCAGTGCTGAAAATATTGCTAGCGCCGCATAAAATTGGTTTGACAAAATATTCCGTTTCGTGATCTTTTCACAAATCTTTTCATCATGCTCGCGCTTGGCGAAATAACGTTTCGTAAGACTTTTTGAACAGCATCGGTGACTTCCGAACGCACATTTTCTGCTTAACGAAGACTAAAAGCCTGCCTTAGAAGCACTATGAAGGAGCTACGATCGTCTAAACAAATGCCTTCTCCTGCATTGTCATAAGTCTATTACGGACACATTGAACACCGTAGACATCGCAAAGAAGCTTTTTGTGCAAACGAACAACGCAAAAAAATATTTTGGAAAATACGAGCAGATGTATCCGCTTGGCTTAACGATGAGGCCCCCATGTTTCAAAACGGTACGCTGCCTCTTTCATTCCTGAACTTAAAATTCATCTTGATGATTTATATAATACTGCCAACAGTCGCTCTTGTCGGATTTGTGTAACAGAAATAATAAAGGCATTACGGTCAAGGTTACCCGTTTACAAAAGATCAGTTAAACTAAAATTGAAGGCTTGTTATTAATATGTCTGGCTTACAGACACGAGTTTAAAGAAGTAGTGGAGAGAGGGATGGGACGAAGCGGTAGCATGCGTAGCCGGGGCATTTTGTTTTTGGTGGCAGAGCAACCATGTTGTTCTCTCGCGGGAAAAAAAGTCGCGAGGAAATTCTCCTCTCGCGTTCACAGTCGCCACCTAAACAAAAGCACTGGCGCGCGAAATCCCGCCAAATACATAGGCGCAGAGGAGGAGGCAGGGCGGCCTCGTGGTCAGTGCGCTCGCCTCCGGATAGACCGGACCGGTCAAGTGCGCGTGTTGAACATGCTCTAATCAAGAGTTAGCGTGCGCGATGCGTAAACATTTCATGTGCGTGACTGGTACTTTAATACGCCAATTTTGAGTGGGGTACCATCTCACCACCATCAAGTCGAGGACGCGAAAGTGAAGAGGCCTCCCACCTAACGAGTAAGTCGGGCTTGATCCTGTCCGCTTCTATTTTCGCCTGGTCCTGGACTTGTCCTAGGCCAGGGCGATTCCCCATAACTTATTACCATGTCATAAATAACAATACCCAAGGTAGAATATTACACTATTTTTACATAGATATGTACATAACAGTTCTAATTTAGCTTTTTTTAAAAATAACTTCATAACGTTTTAGGACGGTATTTACTGACCTCTATTGTAAATTTTGGCATCATCATTTCTAGGTTAGTTTATCTTAATCTATACTTTATCATTGTTATTTATTGTTATCTTATGTATAACCATGACTTATATTTGTGGTGGCTCGAGCAGTAAAGGTCTTGGATCCTTTTTCGGGCTTCCAATGGCTACTTTTATTTACATTTTATACTTTTTCATATCTGTTTTTTTCTGTTTGTATATTTGAGCGTTTCACCTTTCGTTTTTTGTCAGCCTGTTCCAGGCCCTCGGTGGTTGGGGACGAGCGAAAAAAGAGGCGAGCGAGAGAAAAAACGAGGGAAGACTGCATACTTTTTAACCTTCCATGAACTGTAGTAAATAATAGTGATTAACAAAATTGTCGTGTAGTAGGAGACCAACTTGTTTGACCGCGAGTATGATCACCGACAAAATAAGTCAGATCGAAGCCTGTTAACGAGTTTTTATCTCATGGCAAAGTTTGCTAAGAAAATAATCCATTTCTGAAAAGTAACAGAAAAATAAAAAATTGAGGAGTATTCAATCACATGAAGAAACCAAGTAAAACGCGCGCTCAGCACGCGCATTTTGTCATTCGAGCCCTTGTTTTTGGAATCGGACACTGTTTATTGGACACCTTTAAATGGAAGCTTGAGCTACAATTTAAGTTGGTGAAAAACAGGATGTGCCAAGAACCAATCAGATTCAAGAATTTTGTTAATAGTTATGAATGACCGAAATTCCAATCCTTTGTTTTCCAAAGTGAACATAAGTTTGTCTTACAATCAAATACGGCGTTATTTTCTTCATGAAATGTGTAATAAATCAGTCAAACCATTGTTTAATTATGGACTATAAAGTGACAGAAACCTGCAAGAGAGTTTCTCACCGATAATAAATACATGTTGAGTGAGTGAGGGTTCAGTGAGTCCAAATTGGGGGTGGGGGAAAAGGGGATGACCGAACAAGTGAGTAACTCAATAAGTGAGTGAATATGCGGCGAGTGGTTGAGTGGGAGGAGAGGGTGCAGACTCTATCCGTAAGGCCAGGGAAGCTTTTTTAATTCAAAAAGGCAGAACTATTGATCCTAATGGTCTGAACATCCGCGAAGAAACATATTAATTGTTTCCATTTGTTTTCTTTTATTATGTCCTTTTATCGTGTTATTTTATTTTACCGTATGCTTATCTTCAATTTACACTATCAATTACTT